ATCACTTCCATTACCTTCATGAGACAAAAGAAAAACAAATCGCAGTTTGAATTCGTAGAAGTCACTGAGATCACCCAGCTTTGATTAGTACCTGACTTAACTCAGAGAAATTAAAGGAGGCTGGGCTTATCCTTTCATATGTCGAGGTCACAGAAACAGGTGAACTCTACTTCACTTGCCCCACGAACTGTCAAGTTTAAAAGTGTCCATTACTGGACTTTAACTGTCATAGGGACTACATAGATTAATCGGGGAACAGATTTTGCTGTAGTTTCACGCAGTGTATGTTTTTTTTATATAAACTATACAGCATGGAATAAATGAATGTCTGGAGTTCATAAACCGTGTGTCTGTTGGCGTGTTAGGCAGTAGGTAGCAGACGATGATCCGTGGTCAAGGATAAAGTGGGGGTAGTGTGGGGATGGTGTGGGGATAGTGTGGGGGTAGTGTGGGGATGGTGTGGGGATGGTGTGGGGATGGTGTGGGGATGGTGTAGGGATGGTGTGGGTATAATGTAGGGATGGTGTGTGGATAGTGTGGGGATGGTGTGGGGATATTGTGGGGATGGTGTGGGTATAGTGTGGGTATAGTGTGGGTATAGTGTGGAGATGGTGTGGATATAGTGTGGGGATGGTGTGGGGATGGTGTGGGGATAGTGTGGGTATAGTGTGGGGATGGTGTGGGGATTGTGTGGGAATAGTGTGGTCAGCAGTTGACTTTTGAGCGCTTTGTAGATCTAAGCCAAAGTTCGGGACTAAGGAAAAATAAGTGAGAAGCGTCATACAATATCAAGGATGGTAGGGTGGAGGGGGGGGGGGGCTAGAAATGGTAGAGGGTTTGAGTGTATTTGGGGGAGGGGGTGGGAAGTTTAACATTGGTCATATAAGATTTGTGTTGGAGAAAATATATTGATCGTGGGGCAAGCGTGTTGTGACATTCAAATGTCATGTAGCAAGCGTGTTGTGACATTCAAATGTCATGTAGCAAGCATGTAGTGTCATTCAAATGTCATGTAGCAAGCGTGTTGTGACATTCAAATGTCATGTAGCAAGCGTGTTGTGACATTCAAATGTCATGTAGCAAGCGTGTTGTGACATTCAAATGTCATGTAGCAAGCGTGTTGTGACATTCAAATGTCATGTAGCAAGCGTGTTGTGACATTCAAATGTCATGTAGCAAGCGTGTTGTGACATTCAAATGTCATGCAACACACGTGTTGTGGCATTCACATTTCATGGAAATGTCAACAATTCTATTATGATAATGACATTTCATACATTCTGGTTTCGGACATTGAAATGTTATACAGCAAGCATGATGGAACATAACAAGGAACATGCTACAAGCATGATATTACTGTGTCAAATATAACATATGAAAAGGTATAGGATATATATATAGCAGGGGTCGGCAACCTTTTGAGGCGGAAGAGCCAAAAGTTACAATTTTCAAAATTTCCCTGGTTTTAAAGAGCCACTAACGTTTTTTTAATTTCAAATATTTTATTTTTTTATTAAGATTATTAGTAATTGTTCAAGGAGCTGGAGAGCCGCATCTTGATATCAAAAGAGCTGCATGCGGCTCGCGAGCCGCAGGTTGCCGACCCCTGATATATAGGAATCACCATTTCATTTGAAACAACCAGTTTTATTTGCACGTTTGAAAATAAATAAATAATTCAATATGGGATATTTAGAGTTAATGATGTAACGAGTATAAATGTTAATTAAAAGCTCTTATTTTGTAACAAATCTAAAATGTCTCATTGTTTTTAAAGAATTCTTAAGTTTCTTAAAAAAAATAAAATTGTAGAAGTTTGAAATGTAATTATAACTTTAGAAACCATGTAAGAAAAATATATTGAATGCAAATGATATACTATGTAAGCAGATGCAAAGTGTATGAGAAAATAGCAAAAATACGAGTGCAAAGACAAAATATAAATATAAAAACGAGTTATTCCCCTCGGTTTATAAAAAAATAGCATTAGCAATCCCGAACAGATTTAAGGAGCATTCGATCCAACACATTTTTTTAAACACCACATCTATGTTGAGGGAAAGATAATATAAAAAAAAATTAATATATTCTGAGTGTTACAAATGAAGGGATATTTATTTGCGCATGCGTGGCTGTTCTGTGTTGCGGTTAGGATGGCTTGACTCTATTTATTTCTGACCGTCTGCCATTTTGAATTTTGAAAATGCGCTGTTTTATTGGAGTGTTATAGTTACAGACAATATAAATGGGATCATTTCGTATGCAAGTATTTTACTCGCATAGCGGAAGAGTTTTGAATTTTTTTTTTAGCGTCGGACGTAAGTTGTGAAGGTTATGATTTTTTTGGGTTTTAAAATTTTTTTTCACTGTTTCGAACTTGGGGCAGACGACTTTTCTGTGACCTCGGCACTATGCCTTTACTTTCCATAACCTGTTCGACAGATCAAGGCCGGGATCTGAACTCGAGACTTTCAGTTTGGCAATCGTGTGCTCTAGGGGAGTGCGGGTGGGGCGGCCGCCCAGGGCGCCAATCCTAAGGGGGCGCTATAAGGGGTAGAAAAATTAATTTTATATTTTAAGCTGAAGTATTGAATTATACACAGTCAAAGTTACGAATACAAACGATTTACACTAAATTACACACTGATTTAACAATTTTGTGACACTGACATAGAAAATGTTAAGGGATAGTAACTGATAGTAACTAGGGGGGGGGGCTCTTTTTCACAATCAGAAATAACTATGTATAGAAATGGGACGGAGGGGGCGCAAAATTGTTAGTCCACCGGGATCGCCGGAATAGGTCGCGACGGCTCTGATAACAAACAGTTCAAGACAGCGGCACATTTTAACTATCTGAAACTAAGTTGGCGAGTACTATAGATTGGATTATTGCACCACACATAAATCAAATGCGTGTGCATTTTATAAATCGCAACACTGCTGTTTTAATCTAGTGATAGTTTCTATACTTAGAGGTATCTAAGTTTAACAGCTGGTTAAATTGAACTTTTGAATTTCAGACTTAAGTTTTGAAAATTGTGGTTATTTCTGTAAAACATATCAATCAATTAGCTTTATATTTATGAAGTCTTGAAGTTTAAATGTTATCTTGCTAAAAATTATTATATACTTTTTTTTTTTACTATGCGTTAAAAACGAAAAACGGTTTTAGAAGTTTAACTTTCGAATTTAAAAAAGTCTTATTTTTTAGTTGTATTTTTTTTTTGCGTGTAATACACGTAAAGAAAGTTGGTGGATATTTTTAAAGTTTCAACGTTCATTTTTTTTCTTCATGTTTTATTATATACTTTTATGCGTTAAAAGTAAATGCGGCTTTAAAAACATAACGTTCAAATTTAGAAATAGTTTTAATTTAAAAAAAAGTGTGGTAAAGAAGGCAATGGTATGAAGGTAATTGAAAAAACCGAATTTCGAAGCTACTCTTGTGATGTTTGCTGATCCCCTGAAGCTCTTAAACTTTTCAGCTTAAAGCGTCGGCGAACTGCTTAGGCGACATTTCCGTTAGAGGGGTTTCATGTCTTGGAGTGGTCAACTAGGGTTTTATCACGCGCCAAGAAGATTCTTGGACAAATTTTCGCTAGACTCGGGTTAAGTGGATTATAATCGGGGGGTAAGGTGTGTGTGTGTGTGGGGGGGGGGGGGGGGGGGGGGTCGTAGCTAAATATAGATCAGGCTGCGTCATAGTATGTTGACTTATTTTTAGAAGAGTGGTTTTAACTTAAGACGAAAAAAAAAAAACTTTCGTTGGGTTCTTTAAGTTAGAATATGTCTAGTAAAGTGGTGGGGTGGGTAGTGGTTACAGAAGGATAGGGTGGCTGAGGGAAGGGGGGGAGGTCACGGTACCCTAAAGCATTTTAACAGAAGACCAAGTAAAGCTTTAACATCAGTGACTAATATGGCATATAAAATGCTAACATTTAAAAGTACCCCCCCCCCACACACAGACACACAAGTTAGAAAATCGTCATGGTGTACCGCCCCCCTCCCTTCTCCAAATATCTCTTTCCGGGGAGGTCATTCTGTCAGTAGGAAAAAGTTCTGTAATTTTAGTCAGTAAAAGTTTAGAAAGTTTTTTTTCTAGGGAGAAGGGGGACAATCATTGCTGTCCTACTAATTACTGCCCATTGATTTTTACTGAATACATTCTTTAAGATACATCGGACAAACACACAGCGCTTGTGATCAAACACCAGTTGATAGACCACCTGTGATCAAAGACCCTTTGCTGAGAAAACACATGTGGTCAAACCCCCTATGGTCAAACCCCCTATGATCAAACCACCTATGGTCAAAGCACCGCTATGGTCAAAGGCCCGCTGTGGTCAAACCCCCTATGGTCAAAGCCCCTATGGTCAAAGCTCCGCTGTGGTCAAACCCCCTATGGTCAAACCCCCTATGGTCAAAGCACCTGTGGTCAAAGGTCCGCGCACCGAGCCGACCCGCGGCGTATCAGTTGTTTTATTTTTTACTTTTCAGTAATTCATAATTTGTGAATTCGACAGTACCAATGCTGCCACTGAAAGTATTTGCTTTAAAACACTACCCCCCCCCTTTCCCCCAACCCCAACCCCTACCCTATACCCCCCTCCCCGTGAAAGCAGCCTCCTCTTAGTTACCTCCTCTAAGTTTAAAATCGTTTCAAACTAAATTATCTGCCCCTAATAGCCGTCACTAAACCCGGTTTGTAAACATTTAGAGTGAACCATCGCTCACCAGACCATGTGGGGGGGGGGGGGGGTGGTGGTAGTGATAGAGAGGAAGAGAGGGGACTGCAAGGCGCGTTTTGCAGCTTGTTTTCTAACGTCTCCCAGAAGAGAATTATATATATAGATAAACGGTAGGGTGGGCATACTGGGATATTGGTTTGTGTTGCGCGGTGCAGCCGACAGGCTGTTTCCGAACTGGAAACTGGGTCGTCTAGTATAGACAGAACTAGCGTATAACTAGACACATTACGAAAACAACAGCGCCCTTACTCCTATATTCAATGCTCGCGAATGCTGTGCCATCCTTTTGCGTCTGTCCCCATTCGTCTGCTGTTGTAACTGCTGCAAAAACTCCAGGAATCTGGAAGTGTTGTCTAACTCTTGGTTTCTGTACAAGACATTGTAAATATATATATATATATATATATATATATATATATATATATATATATATATATATATATATATATATATATATATATATATATATATATATATATATATATATATATATATATATATATATATAAGTATATCTATAAAAGGTAGCAATATTATGTATAGTATATATATATATGTGTGTGTGTGTGTATAGGCCCCTACTCAATAGGATATTTCTTGCTGAAACAACAGATTTGTAAAGTAAATGGACAGGAAGTGTCGTTATGATACGTGCCTTGATTATACCGAGGGAAGTCACGCGTAAAAACTCGGTCAGTTATTCTGGCCGTCCAAAGTCTGAGACATGCTCTCGGCCAGTTTTATTCTGGCCGTCCAAAGCCTGAGACGATGCTCTGTAATCGAGCGTGAATGGTCTGGCGCTAACGCTGATCACGCTTGACTGAATGTGTGGGCGGTTCAAAGATTTCAATCGGCCTAAACCGAGTTTTATGGAGCAGGTAACGAAGTTGTGGGAATCTCAAGATTGCTGTAACCCTGATCTGTTTCTGATTACATAACACCACATCAGTCCCTTAAACCAGGGGTCTCCAAACTACGGCCCGCGGGCCGGATGCGGCCCGCGGTCCTCTCATTCGGCCCGCGGAGATCATTTTGTCCACGGAAAAAACCGTTTATTTGTGATGGCTGAGCAACTTTGCCAAGAAAAATCAAAGATATGCCTGGAAGAAACTGGCCCCCGAACTGAAATTTGATAGTTAATGCACCCTCGGACTGAAAAGTTTGGAGACCCCTGCCTTAAACCATCAGTATGTTCTTTAGGTTTCAAAGGTGGGGGGGGGGGATTTAATGATTACTATGAGAATTGTTTTTTTCTGGTAACATAAACCCACATCAGTCCCATAAACCACCGATTTGTTATTTGGGTTTCAAAGATTGGGGAATCTAATGAGTACTATAACACTTGTTTTTTTCTGATTAAATAACACCACGTCAGTCCCATGGTCTACCAGTGTCTTATTTATTAAAATTTGTGACTTGAAATAACTACTAACTTTTAAAACAATATATATGAAAATATAAAGGTATTTTCTTATAATTCAAGTTAAGAATTACCAATGTCTTATTTATTAAAATGTTTCACTTATAACAACCACTAACTTATAAAACAATATATATGAAAAGAAAAAATGTATTTCTAATAATTCAAGTTGAGAAAGAAACGTAGAGAATAATAATAGTACGTTCTACTTATGTAGACTGCTATAACTGGTATTTTTAAACTCCAAATCTGTATTTTTATAAGTTTAATTACGCGCCCCACCCCCTTAAAAATTGTAGTATAGTCTAACCTAGTGGCACAGCGCGGTGACAAAATTGCGCGACGTTTTCGAGTATTGCGCGGATTTGTATGTGAAACATGAACTTACCTGGCGGAGAGGAAACTTTTCAAGACTGCTGCATCTAATTGTGAGGACTCGGGTAAAGAGGGCTGAACATTTGTTGACTGGGGGATGGCTCTTTTTGCGGAAACGCCTCGACATCTTGGGGCGAAAACATATTTCCTACAGGAAAAGAATTTTTTTTTTTTTTGAAACTTGTGTCAAAAACATATTTTCTAAAGGAAAACAAAAATATTTTTTTTATCAAACTTGTGTCAAAAACATATTTTCTAAAGGAAAACAAAAATTTTTTTTTATCAAACTTGTGTCAAAAACATATTTTCAAACAGGAAGACACATACATTTCACAAACTTGTGTCAAAAAACTTTTCCCAATAGGGAAACAAAAAAATTATTTACTAAACTTGTATTGAAAACATTTCGTACAGGAAAACAAAGAATAATTATTAACAAAAGAAATGAAAATAATATTTTCCTACAGGAACTCAAGAAATTATTTACCAGAATGGTATAAAAACCAAATTTCCTACAGAAAAACAAAATTATATATACAAAACTTGTACACAAAACATATTTCCTACAAGATAGTACATAAATTATTTAGTAAAACTTGTTTCTCATTTGAGCAATTTCATTTTTTAAATTGATTTTTTATTTGTTTAGCGATTTTGCAACATTTCGTTGAAAGTAAAACACACTCTATTAACTACACTTCTTATAAGTTGCAAAAAGTATACATTTTGCTTAAGAAAATGTTAATACATTTTTAGATTAAATTGTGTTTACAAAAATATTGTAAATGATTTAACGAATTATCTTTAAACTCGTCTAAAATTTAGAATAGTTTCTTTAAGAATACAACTGTATAAATACATTTATTTATTCTTTAAGTTTGGTAATTGAATGCAATTGTAAAAAAAATTGAAAATGAAACTTTTAGTGGAAAAAAATGTAACAAACTATTTTTTTTTGTGAATTTGGAAGAAAAATGATGTTTTAATAAGGCTATTATGTATCAATCTTTTGTCTTTTTAAAATTTCACACCAGAAATTTACTTCTTCAAAAATAGAATCGTTATAAATCGATTTATAGCAAAAAAAAACCCACTTCCCACAAGTTTTTATATTTTTAAATTAACACACAAAGCAACAACAACTATTTTTAACAAATAATATACTAGCTAAAAAAAGATTCCAAACTAAACTGAAAACCCAACTATTTCTTGACACCTTTAACTGTCATCGCATTTTCTTGATATATATATATATATATATATATATATATATATATATATATATATATATATATATATATATATATATATATATATATATATGTATTTATATGTATGTATATATAAAATATACATAAAAGAGACATAAAGATAAACCCAAGGAGAAGAACATTTACAATGGACGTGTGTACCTAACCAAAGATGAATGAGCCAATGAGTTGTCTTTCTATTAAGGATGGAATAGGCTTTTTTTTTATTTTAAAGTTAAAAAAATAAATGTTCACTTTAATTTTTTTTGTATATCAATGAAAACTATATACTGAAATAATTTAAAAAATTGAAAATAAAACATTTTTTTTCTCTAAAAAAAAAAATCAACACAACGAGGTTATTCCCCTTTATGTAGCCATTCTTGCTCAGTGGAGGTTAAAAAATGTGGTTTATAAATCGAGACGCAGCGAGAGAAAAAAATGTGTATTCAGATCGAGACGAATTCTGCTAACATCACAAAGTGGGATATAGATGATCACGTTAGACGGGTTCACCAGCTTAGATAATCCCACAGCAAGGGGCAAGTAACACGTGGAACTCTGGGTATTGCAGGGGATTCTCTCCCTTGGGTCAATCGGTTAAAACGTGTTGCGTGGGAGTGGAGTGAGATATAGTATATATATATATATATATATATATATATATATATATATATATATATATATATATATATATATATATATATATACACATATGTATATGTATATGAATAAATAAATAAATAAATATATATATATATATATATATATATATATATATATATATATATATATATATATATATATATATATATACGTTTGAATGTTATGCCCTTATAAACGTGTATAGCCTATATAAGTAAATAAATGTGTATATATATATATATATATATATATATATATATATATATATATATACAGAGAGAGAGAGAGAGAGAGAGAGAGAGAGAGAGAGAGAGAGAGAGAGAGAGAGAAAGAGAGAGGGGTACTTTTCTATTATGGTATGTAAACATGTCTTGGTATCAAGGCTATATATATACTGTTGATTTATTTTGTCAAAAACGATACAAAAAATAAATAGGCAATTGTCTTTGACATAATTTGTTTTTTGAATACATTTTTCTCCCTCATTCCCCACTGTTCTTGTGAATAAAGTAACTACAACTGAAGGGGTAAAAATGGGTAGACATAAAAAAAAAGTGACCAACATTTACCGAGTTATCTCAACATGACGCGGCTGTCTGATAACTAGACCATGATGTTTTGAATATAACCACATGACCCCGCAACCACCCCCTCACCGACATCCACCTATTCTTTTAAACGTACCCTCACTAACTCGTCAACGTGACCCCCGGGCTTCTTAAAACTCCGACCTCGTGACTCTCCCGTCCCCGGGACTAGAATTGAATATTGACGTCTCCGTCTAGACGCCCGAGCCCGCGTGGGTCGGGATCCTATAGACGGTGGCGCCACCTCCAAAATAGAGTCTTATTTAGCTACTGACTCCAGACACAATATGCCCCAATGACAAGATCGTAATCTCCCGCAGAAAGAAACTGCCGTTTCCTATACATAACAATTGCCGAAACAATATACAGTTAACTGACAGGGCTTGATCTATGCGATTCTATATTCGGCTTTATCTAGTATACAAATATACGGTTTCGTGTTATAGAAAGCGAATGAGTCACGGTTGATAATTTATTCAAGATTTCCGAATTTAGAATAAGTTTTTCTTCTTCTTTTCGTTCTTGAGGGATTCCTCCAACACAATAAAGTATACGTGTCAGCTGGTTATGCGCCATACAGAACTTTGACTCCGATTTCAGCCTGCTTTTCTTTTTGGATTTTCTTCCGTAGCCTTTGTCCAACCAAGAACAAACTACATGACAGCAGTTGTTTGCTTTTGGAGTTGTCTCTCCTAGATGAGTGGCTTTTACGGGGATTCGAACTCGGGACTTTTCCGGTGAGCTTAACCAACACGACAACGCCGACCCCCCCCCCCCCCCCCTAATATATTGTTGAAACAGATAATAAGAAAATATAATCAAGGTATCGCCGAAAAAGGTATTTCAATCGAATTGTCGATCCTTTTAAAGCAAGTAAAGACAGTACAGAAATATAATATTAATGTTGTGCTACGATACTTTGATACTAGAATAAAAATTCTGTAGTACATACTAATTGACGTAAAATTATGAAAAGTTTTCAATATTACTTTCAACACTAAAAGCTTTCTTGCAGCTTTTCATTCAATAGTATGTTTAGTTTTTATTCAAAAGTACTATCAATCCTAGCATTTTACTTTCAACTTAAATTTTAGCTAGTAGAACTTTTAGCACTACATTAATATTTTCTTTATACATTACTTTCAATAATAACATTTTACAACATTACTTTCAACACAAGCTACTAACTTCAACACTACTTTGAATACGAACAGTCAGTGGCGTAGCGAGGTCGGGTGTCACCCGGTGCGGCACTTAATGGTGTCACCCCCCAGAGGCGTAGAGACCCTTCCCGGGGACAAACTTTCAAACTTTCGATTTCCACCCCCCCCCCCCCCTCCTCAAATTTTCGATTTGCACCCCCCCCCTTAAACTTTCGATTTGCACCACTCCCCTTCAAGTTTTTCTCTATATATTTTGCTATTTTTTGGCTTGGTGTCACCCCCCTAAATGGTGTCACCTGGTGCGGTCCGCACCCCCCGCCCCCCCCCCCCTCGCTACGCCTCTGCGAACAGTTTATTTTTGGTACCCTATTGCACGATAATTTGAGTACCTTTTCAGTTGGTAGAAGAAATGTCAAATATAAGTATAGTATCCAGTTCTATCCAGATTTTTAGTTTTCTCTCAACTGAGCGATTTCCGGTATTAAGAAGTGATACCCAGTCCATTTCCAATTTCTCATAATCCGATAACTTGAATATACGATAATTATATATCATATTTTAAATTCTCATAAAACAGCGAATTCTAAGAGCATTGTATCTGTATGTTTTTCTCAAAAAAATAAAAATTAAAATTAAAATTAAAATTGTGGTGTGTGTGTGTGTGTATGGGGGGGGGGGGTGTTGACGATGTATGACGGTGGAGGAAGGTATCGGGGGTAAAAATCGTCAAAAAAAGCTTGACATCATTTATGGATGACCGTTTAAGTAGAAATTTTAATATAGAGCAGGGGTCGGCAACCTTTTGAGACGGAAGAGCCAAAATTTACAATTTACACAAATTCCAAGTCTTTAAAGAGCCGCCAACATTTTTATTTCAATATTAGATATATATATATATATATATATATATATATATATATATATATATATATATATATATATATATATATATATATATATATATATATATATATATATATATATATATATATATATATATATATATATATATATATATATATATATATATATATATATATTAAGCAATGTATGTGTGTTTGTGTGTCTGCTTTTCTTTTACGCATTATTATACCAATTCATCCGACCGCCATGAAACTTTGGGAAGTTGTTGCGAATTCTCCTGGGGAGGTTTCTGCGAAAACAGTTTTTCAAATTCGCAGGAGTGGCGCCCAGGCACGACGCGGTTTGTTTTTCCTCTATATACGGTATATAAAAAATAGAAGTCGATTGCGGATTCACACCCTTCATCCGATCATCATGAAACTTAAAGGAGTTGATTAAAACACTACAGTAGAGGTTGGTGCAAAAAAATCATATTTTAAAATTTTTCTCTACATACTTATAGGTGTCGCCCGGGTGGTGAATTTTTGTCCATACACGTTTTGGCGCCCTGAGTTCCAGAGCAGCTACATTAGTACTTGGCACCCGTAAATCGGGCGTTCTACATAACGGGTAAGGGGTACTACTATATTTAGCGGCAAA